AAATTTTTGAAAACAAAGTGTGTTTACTTCAAAAAAATGTAAATAAACATTGGAAACCATAATAAACAATCAAAAAAATGTAAATAAACACTGGGAACCAAAATAAACAGACTAATGTTTGCAAACAAAGCGAAATTTCAAAGTTTTCGAAATTCCGATTTGAAATTTTCGAGAATTTTTGAAAACAAAGTGTGTTTACATCAAAAAAATGTAAATAAACATTGGAAACCATAATAAACAATCAAAAAAATGTAAATAAACACTGGAAACCAAAATAAACAGACCAATGTTTGCATACAAAGCGAAATTTCAAAGTTTTCGAAATTCCGATTTGAAATTTTCGAAAATTTTTGAAAACAAAGTGTGTTTACTTCAAAAAAATGTAAATAAACATTGGAAACCATAATAAACAATCAAAAAAATGTAAATAAACATTGGAAATAAATAGATTGCAAGTATACTTACCTATACTTACCTATACTTACCTAGTATCCATGAATTATCCGCAAGTGTTAGAAATTTGATTTCATAATAATTCACTTAAAACTAAGTTAACATACGAATACTTACCCATACTTACCCAGATGAACTATCCACACGTGTTGTAGATGATTTCATTGCATAATAGATCACTTAATAAACTACAGCAACTGAAATATATATATATCAAAAACTTTGAAATTTCGCTTTGTTTGCAAACATTGGTCTATTTATTTTGGTTTCCAGTGTTTATTTACATTTTTTTGGTGTAAACACACTTTGTTTTGAAAAATTTTCGTAAACTTGCAAATGATGTAACGGCCAACACATCCAGTCCATACTTAATATAAAAGTTTTTAAGATACGAAGACCACAAGCTGTCGCTTAGCCTACGATCAGGTGCAATCTGTGGGTTAATCTGATCTTTCGATCGTTAATGATACGATACAGATAATGAAAATTTTTTAGATATGTATTAGTGACTCGATTACTACAAATGATTAATTGAAGATTTTGAATAGTACTTAGAAATATTACAGAAAAGAATTTATTGTTTAAATGTTGCAAGTAAATTATTAGAAATGCTACAGAAGAGAATTTATTGTTTAATTGTTGCAAGTAAATTATTAGAAATATTAGATAATGTTTAAACAATATTCAGAAATATTATTTAAAAATTCACTCCTAAATTTTGATCGATGTGCACACGACGGAAGTTTAATTGGTAATGAGCTCTTGTCTCCGTATCGATCAATATTTATCCAATCTTTCGGTCGTCAATGACACGATACAGATAATGAAAATTTCTTAGAAATGTATTGGTGACTCGATTACTACAAATGATTAATTGAAGATTCTAAAAAGTACTTAGAAATGTCGTAGAAGAAAATTTATTGTTCAATTGTTACAAATATATTATTAGAAATATTAGATAATGTTTAAACAATTAGAATATTCAGATATATTATTTAAAAATTCACTCCTGAATTTTGGTGGATGTGCACACGATGAAGGTTCAACTTACAATTACCTTTTTCCTGCTCAACCTTCAGGTAAAGTCAGTGATGCACAGCAGGTGATAACATTTGTCAATACTTCCAAAAACACTTTTTCTATTCAGTTATCGGTAATTTTACATGTACTGCTGCAGTGTAAAACTTGCCTGAATCGGTACGGCAGGATGTGACACGAAAATGGTAAGTGGGCCCATGCACCCTCCAATCTTGGGCCGAAAAAGTACATTGTATGCTAGGTCTATTCATATACCTCGTCTGTGACCTCGTCTGTGGCGCTGCAGTGCAAAACTTGCCTGAATCGGTACAACAGGATGTGACACGAAAATGGTAAGGGGGCCCTGAAGCCCCCCAATTGTGGACCGAAAAAACACATTGTATGCGAGGTCTATTCATATACCTCGTCTGCGCCAATGATTTTTTAGTATTTAGTCAGTATTTTAGGTCACAGGCCACGAAAGTCCGTAAGATGCAATGTCTATTCATATACTTCGTCTGTGCGAAGTGTGTGTCTTTTGTTTTGACAGGAAATCCAGCCAGTGAATCAGCGTGTCACCTGGCTCTTATTAATGTCCACCTATTTATAGGATGAAAGGAAAACCGACATTCTTGAAGAACGTTGGTTATTCTCTCTTTGGAAAAAACTCGGGCTCACCGAGTCTGTCACTTTATTCACGATTTTCCGTGAATGTGAATCGTTCATTATGGTTGGCGTGCGCAAGTATATGAGCATTAGAATATTTATTTATCACATCTATTGGAGAACTTTAGTAGAATCGTATACTACTTAATGTTTTATATATATTATGTCATTTCAGTGTTCTTCATTCAGTATTATTCCAGATTATTGCAGATGAAACAAGTTAGAAACAAGTTGTTAGAAATAATGTTTGTTAACCTTTTACTCATTTTTACTCACAAAATTTATAATTATTACAATTATAACTCTTTAGTAGGTTATTGTTAATAATTTTATTCTTTAATTTATATTTTTTTATATGAACGACAGATTGTCTGTTTTATTAATGTGTTTTTTTATGTAGCTTATCACCGATGACCAATGTTTCGAAAGATTTTGAGAATAATTAATGAAACTGTAAGAAACTGAATAACTGCCTCTATTCAACAGTTAATGACGTTATACTGTTACTGTATCGTAATAATAATTTAAGAAATTAAATATGAAGCACGACATCGATGTGAAATATCGTGACACATTGTAAATCTCATGTGGCAATTATGTTTCAAGTTCTGGAATGTATCACCTTTTTTAGTTTCGTATTTTCGTGTCTTAGCTTTCGATTTTATTTTTATTCATTTAAGGCTGACACTGTGCACGTTACAAAGCGTTATTCAATTTTTCAAAATGTTAATAATTGACCCGTCAATCATAAAAGGAACTATTATGGTTTTAATAGAAAAATTTTAAAACTTCTCTTCCATGAATATAATAAATGTCACCTCTCACTAGCTTCTATGAATATAATAAATGTCAATGCTAACCAGCCATCAGTCCGGGTGCTATCGCAAAAATACAAGTTGTCCGTGATTGGATCGAATGATTTATTTCGCACGTTATTATTAAAATTAATACAATGACAGAGAAATATTTACAGAAAAGTCTCACATAACAACTACATACGCGGTACTTTCTCATCCGTGATGATCAACCTCGAAAGTAATAACGTTACGATAATAACATAATAATAATAATAGTAATAATAGCAATAATAATAATAATAATAGTAGCAGTAATAATAATATTAATAATAATTATAATAATGATAATGATAATAATAACATTATTATTGATAAATTGATTGAATCGGAGAACAAGGCATGTCCGAGCAAAAAGGGAGAAAAAAAAAAAAGAAAATAAAAGGGTTGAGAAACGGCACCGCCCTTCTACGAGGGTCAACGATCCGACTGTAAAGCCACGAGGATAAAACGCGACACGCGGGGATAATTAAATACGATACCGGCGCGAGGAAAGTCCACGGAAATAAATAACGACGGATCGGCCTCGAGAAGTGGCGAACACCGGCTGCTCCGTGCTCGGTATCTTCACGCTCTTCCTCTCTCTCTCTCTCTCTCTCTCGCTCTCTCTCTCTCTCTCTATCATTCACATAGCAAAACTAACGTACATTATACAGGTCTCTATGATTTTCTTTGATTCTCAGAGGCAATCGTGAATTCACGCAACATACATACATACATACGCACGCATTTTTTCTTTTCGGTTTCATTCGTTCACGCTCGTTGTATTCACACTTTACGAAAGGATATTATTTATACGTACATACATACATACATATATATATATTCATACATTCGCATCAGATTCGCGTTCTCTTCGTCGCTCGTGTTCCCGTATCTCGGTGCATGGTGTGCGTCTCTCTCTTGGAATTTCAAAAAGGACGAACGCTCACACGGTGGCGATTAGGCTGCGGATATTTTTTTATATCCACGGTACCTTCGAATCGTTTTCATCGTTGACGCTTACGATCGAACCGCGTTCGACGCGAAAATGGCGCAATGTTCATTTCGTTTCGACACTGGTATTTTCATACTATTTCGTGTAAGAAGGATTACTCGATTCTACTGACGTTCGAAACGGAACTCTTTTAGTTCAGAAATTAACCCTCTCGCATCGTACAGCTAGATCATGGACGTTCTGCAGTTTTGGGAAATTTGAGAGTAAGTTTCAAAGACTTTGTGATTCATCTACGAGACGTACGTAATATGAAACAATATATAAACTATCAAAAGTGGAGGATTTGTTACAATATTTGATATATTTAATTTTTTCTTTTTTTTTTATTGAATATATAAATGGAAATATAAGATCAAGTGAATATTGATAGTCTAGTAGTAACTGGTGATTTTGTAAATTTTGAACAGAACTTGTTACTTGTCAAAGTAACGTGCTGTCGTAGCGTTAAACACGAGAAGGAAATTGCAAAATATTTAGGTTAGGCATCAAAGATCGATAGTTTTAATCAAACCTGTCACGAATGAAATTTCACACCGTACTCGTCGTCTTCTAACAACATTGTCAGAACGTTATTACTCGCGGTAACTCGCTGCAAACATCATCAAACATTTAAAACAATGATCAATTTACCTGATTAACTTCGCGAGATTTTCAACTTCCACTTGCTGACAGCTTTTAACTCTGCTCGAAAGATGATAATGTTACACAACTCTAATCGAAAATTCGAAATGGCGTCTAAACACTCGTCTTCGTGAATCGAAAGCTGACAGACAAGTATTTCTAGAACACTGTTTACATTTTATTCACCGATTTCTAATTTCCACGTTTATGTGAATCGGAAATCAATACAACATAAGAGAGAGAGAGAGAGCAGCGCTTCCAAAATCGTTCATCGATCCACGAGGAACTCGAGTGATTCACATCGATTCGATTCGGTCGATTTCGAATTCCCCAAAAAAATTTAAGGCATCTCCGCCTTAGTGCTCTCGCGTCGATCGATCGATCGTTTCGGCGTCAACGTTTCTCAGCGATTCTTGTCATTTCGATCATGCGTGCTCGATTATTCTTCCTGTTAATTCCTCTGTGAAGGCACGTGTTTGTTCGTTCGAATTTCATTTCACTGCGATTCGACGCGATCGGTTGAAAGAGATATACGAACGAATTCGTACAGAAGGACGAGCAACTGTATGTGTGTTGTGTGTACGTGTGCGCGCGCGCGCGCGCGCGCGCGTGTGTGTGTGTGTGTGTGACTAGCATTTACAGAACGTTCCACTTTGATCCATTGAAAGTATAGACGCTCCACGAGATTTTCTTCACGGCGTTCGCCTTCAGACTTCGGACTACACGCGTTTAGAACACATATTTGCATGTACATTCGCGTGTCTCGTGATCGCGTAGAATTGAAAAGATCGTGATCCCTCGAGCTGAACTCTCGATCGAGACTTCCACTTCTCGTAACGAGACTTGCCCTGGCTGTGTTCGAAGGATTGACCGGTCGATTTGATATTAATGAATAATAAAGTTTCTTCGACTCGCGATAATGATAGATAATGTAGATATACAGAGGGAGAAAGGAAGACATTTCTCGAACGATAATCTGTTAACCGATAATGCGGAATTAAAAGGAAACTGTAATCATTTATTCGAGTACAAGTTCTTGTCGTCTGTACAAATGGTGGAAATTAATAAATGAAATTTTACTTTTGACTGAGAGGATAATACCTCTGTTCAGAAATTCCAAAAATTTTCATTACTTCACTTGATTCCTTTATTTGTAACGTGTTAAACATGATTCTAATATAACTGCCCTGAAATAAGAAATTTCACTCCAAATTCAAAATCAATTTAACTGCAACACGTGCCAAGGGTTTTATCATGACCTACGATTATAGAACCTACGATTCAAGGACCAAGTGCCATTCAATCGGTATCCAAATATTTGCAAGAATCTTGCCAAATTATCTCGTTACGCTCGTCACAATTTCTATTTTCAAGTTTTCATTCTCATTCTCATTGGAAGTAGCTCGGTTAACAGGTCAAGGTTCTTTATCAAATTTGTCGATTGTCGACGACAATGAGGCAAGGGCAGGCCGTTGGGACACGAGGCGTCGGATCGATCTCCATCGATAGACGAACACCGATCCAACGGAGAAGAATTGGAGACGCCTAAAGCTAGTCTAGGCTCTCAATTTCGATCGATCGCCGGACGCGCGGTTGATTGAAATCGTCCGTACGGCTAAGGCACTCTTCAAGTTCAAAACCTTGAGAGATTCGACCTCGCGTTCGCGATTCTCCTCCTCCTTCTTCGTCGATTCGTTCTCTCTCGCCATGCTGCACTTCCGCTCAAGTTGCGCTCCTCTTTCGACACGAACGGAAAAATGAAGTATGTAGGCACTATGAGCTAGCGATCAATCGCGTACGGTCCATCGTACGCGCAGAAACAACTCGTACACGCGAGATTCTACGCCGCGTAGATCGCGATACATCTACGTATATATTTACAATGGCTCGCGGAAGTATTCGAACATTTGTCGCTGAATTAAATTACGTTGACACTTGCACGTAACAGATCGCATCGCGACTGTGTGATCGGTACGTACAGGTTACGAGATATTTTATATATATTGTATCGAAGGAAACGATGAGAATTGAATCAGCTCCATGCAGTTATTCAGATGTAAAAGATATCTTGTCTTCATAAATTATTATTCGCGGGCAGAATTTTTGAGAGATTATATCGAAAAATGGCGCGATTATTCTCGAAAATGCTATAATTGTTATAGCAATCTCTTCGAGTAAAAGGTTGACACTTAGTATAAATTAACCATCTGGTTAAAAATGGTTCCACTGAATATTGAAATTTATCCATATAATGGATAACTGGCTTCGATACTTCTCTCAATAATATCTGAGCAATATATAGATTTGCGCCAAATATCTCGTAATTTCTATATACATTTTTTTTAGATTTGTTACAAATTTAGATCACCACAATCGTTACGATATTAATGAAGTATCAAAACGTTTCATATAATATATGTACACACGATATATTCGTAAAAGGTGTTCGCAAGCGTTGGAATACTTTCGTGAGTAACTATACATGCGCTTAACATTATTAATTAGAGAACTCGCCGCTCATTAACACTTTCGAGGCCGGCACGTAACTAGAAAACTATTGAGACGACATTCTCTTCTCTCTTTCTCTTTAATTTAATTCGGTTTGTCGCATGACGCACACGGCGCGTCATCAACCAGCCTCGAAATAGTTAAGAGCGATAATGTTGCAATATTTTTCAGTCAATGTACATCAGCGAATTCTATCTTTCGACGATTGTGATTCCTAGACTGCGAATATTTGTGCGACAGAGATCTAATGTAACGAATGAACAGAGATTTGTCGAATACAGTATTTTTAGCACAGCAGTGTTTTACATTCTTTTTTTCTCTTTTTTCTTTTCATCTGAAAGTTACGACGAGTGAAATCTTGTTTCAATCACTATTCCATTCTACCACCATTCTAATAATCGCAATTTCAATTTTATTAATATTTTCAATTTAAAAACAACGTAACTACCATGAACCATCATCTAGAGTAGCCTTTAGAGAATTAAGTTTCTTATAATTGCATAAAAATTCGCAGTCCAGAAAATAGCAAGAGAAATACAACGTTCTTCAGCGAATGACACACAATAATTATTTGTTAATTTTATCGTTTCCGTTCCATTGTGCTTGGTCATTAACGGCTCAAGCGATTGACACGCGACTTCTCTTAAACGTATACAGTAAAGGCACCCAAAGTTATCGGTTCTCGATTTTAGCGTGATCCGTCGAACGGACGCACAGGCAATTCGAGCTATCACGTACCATCTACGCTAACAATATTATGGCTAGGTTGGGCAAACTCGCCACTCGCAATCAGCATCGAGTCGCTCGCGATACCGATTTACTTTTACTTGCTCGATTACGCTGCTCAGAAACCTTGGGACGAAGCAACTACATTTATATCAAAATTGAAAAAAATTCAAAACCAAGATTCGCTGTGTTTTAATGTTTAATGTTATAACGTCTGGTGACATTGTGTCATTTTCTTACTTTAACAAACATGTTGCCTTAATGCTTTTCATGGACCGTAATGTTGCAACATGAGGAGAAATTTATTACGAAAGTTAGAACATTCGATTTTATTGATTTAGTAGATAAATCACAATTGGAAAGCAAAGAGGGAGTAATAATCGTAATGGCTTAATGAAAAAAATGAAGCATGTCCAAAGACTTTCTGAGCGCGAGCGCATACGTTCACTGTTACTCTAGAATTCCGAACGGAGAACTGACATATGCCTGACATTTACCAATTACGTAAGCAATTGCTAGTTTCCATCTCACGGAGGCCGCGAAACGAGACGGGAATCGATCTTCCGCGGTGCATGGACTTTCGTTTCGCGAGCAACTCGATGCAGCGAACGCGCACTGACTCGCGCTCGATTTTCTTTTTTTTTTTCTTTTTTCTTTTTTATTTTCTTTCTTCGCAGTTCTTCGAAAGGACGGCCGGTCAGTCTATCGGTAATGGCAGACAACGAGCTGTCGATACGTCTCGCTCTCTCGCGATCTATCGTTGAAATGCTTGCTGCCATCTCGGATCATTTAACGTACAATGATTCGCGAGAGTGTTCACAAGCACCTGTCGCAGGGAATTTCTACGAATTTATTTGTCATTAAAGAAATGTGTGTCTACACTGAGATTTCGTGAAATTATGTCATCATTGTCCACCACGTGTCCACGTGGAGAAAAATTACTTTGTAGGAGCATCAATAATTGTTATATAAACTCTGTTTAATCGATGATATGCATACCTTTTTATTCCATTACCATAAAATATACTTCTCATCCGATCATTTTCATTCCTTTTTTTTTTTAAATTTTTATATAATCCAATCATTTTCTTGGCGTTATAAAAGAAGACATTTTTTGCTTTCCATTGCTGTTATTAAATGATATTATAAATTGCCCTTACGCTGTTTATTTACCGCAATTGATGCAATTTTTCCATAATATTTCTCAAAATGCACAGCGTAAGGATAACTTGCCATTTTATGTATCGTAGTTACCGCATGTGATTTTCATAACTCTCAAAAACATTGAGAAATCGATTGCATTACATTTTATTACAAATCTATTATAATTGTAATCTGTGACATTATGCTTTTTTCACTAAACTTTTACAATTTACAATTTATAAATTAACGCCTTGCAAATATAAGCGTGATTTATTTCCAACAAAAATAAATCATTGAGTTTCTTGAAGGATTAATTGACGATTAATCATCAAAGAGATGCTTGTTGAACAATTGGTATACATATATCGTTGAATTTGTTCAACCTTCACTACGGACTGTGCTCATTAAAATTCCCCTAACAGCTAGTATCCAAACACTCTCACGAATCACCGTACGACAATCAATCGTTAAGCTCACCTATGACAGAACTCTGAAAACTAGAGTTAACACGACTACAGTCGACCGTGTTCTCTCGTAGAATCTCGGTCGTCCGGATATCTATCATATTTACAGATGGCGATCCACAAGCGATCGGTACCCGGTGAATACGCCTACGTGCAGAAATGAAATGGCCTTTCACCCGACGATGATAATTCCTCGGCTACCGATCGCTTGCAACGCGCTCTTTACCAAACTATTTTACTGTATATTTTATACTGTACAGCGTAACGAAATATATACAAAGAAAACTGCCGCGTTGGCTCCTCATCGGGGGGGAGGACCGATGACAGGCAAAGCTGCTCGAACAGAAACCCTCCACGTTGCTCCTCGTCGCCTACGAAGCTCCGTGGACCTGAAATCGTCGAATCCGCGCTTGCACCGACTCGCACTGTACTTCGCTGTATCTGGTGTACCTGCCGGCTCTCACGGGCTCGCGGATCACCACCAAGTTCCCGCCTCTTTCGCGAAGCGCCTCCAATCCAGTCTTCCCGTGGACGGTGGTCGGCGGTGTGGTCGCCTTGCCGAACTTCGCGTTGGAACTCTCCGAGGAGAAACGGCTGAGAGCTTTGCTCACCACCCCGTTGCACTCTCTCGGCCATACTCTCGTGTGGTGCCTCTGCTCCCATCTGTCCGAAGACGCTTCCGAGGCTGAGAACGGGAAACTGGCCCTACCCTGGCCCTTCCCGTACAGGATGAAATCCAACGAGTCGTCCGAGTAGATGCTGCTTCGGTCGCTGGAACTGTCGGTGGATATCTCCGAGACCGAGTCGCTGCCGCTGTCGCTGCACTGTTGCTCCTCGCCGAGGATGAACACCGGCGTGCACTTAAACACCTCGCCAGCTGGCATTGTGTGCGTGGCCGTTGCTCTTCTCTGCGTGCCGCTTGTTACGCCCGAGGTGTTGATCGTGGCGCCGGACGAGGTCACCGGCTCGATTATCACGATCTCCGTTCCTGAGAATTTCTGCGCCAGAGTGTCCATGTTCCTTTTGAACGTGTCCCTGCGATCGGAGCTCAGGCCGAACCGGCTCGGCTTAGGCGACAGCTTCGATTTCGTGTACAGGTTCTCCGTGTGGGACGAGACAGCTCTGTTTGCTGTTGGTTTCGCTTCGATCGTTTGACAGGTGGTCGACGATCTTTGTTTCTCGGCGTCGGTCTTGAGTACGGAGGACACCGTTGTTGTTTGGTGGTTGTCGTTTGCGGCAGCCTTGGAGAACGAATTTGTTTCTGTCGACGAGGCGTCTTGGATGGACGATTGGTCCAGTGCTGGGCAGGCGGAGGATAATGGCGGCTGAGGGTCGTCGAACATGCTGAACCATGGGTGTTGCAGGCACTCGGTGGCCGTCAGGCGTTCGCTAGAAAGAGAAGAAGGGTTTCATTAATATTTCGATCTGTAATATAGTTCAGTTATATAGTTTAATCACAATTCAATTGTATGGTTAAATTATGTAGTTCATTTATATAATTCATCCATAATTTAATATAATTTAATTATATACATAGTTCAATTATACAGGAACATTGCTGAATTAATTATTGCTTTTTAATCCATTAAAACAATTGTTAATACAGACGTAAATTTTGAAATATTTGAGTAAGTATTAATAACGATTCCACTGAATACTGAAATTTATTAATATAGTAGATAGTTGATAGCTGAAATATATTAATATACTGAATATAGTAGATAGCTGAAATTTATTAATATAGTAGATAGTTGACCATTTCAATTTCGCGTGGTCTTTGCGAAATGTACGCTTGTAATTTCCGTTGATGTACATATCTAAATTTGTTCCAGAATAATCATAATAAACAACGTGTCCAAATATATCTCACGTAGCACACGTAACGAGTTCATAAAAAGTTCGTACAAATGCTTGTACATTTTCGTAAGGTATAAAATTCTGATTAGATTATTATAAATATTAACAAAATGTTTAACATAACACACACAGAGTATATTTGCAAAAAAAAAAAAAAAGAACTCGCGGTAAGTGTTCATGTACTTTCACGTAACAACAAGCTCGTAGTCGTTACATGTTTTCCAATCTTCGCAACGTGTCCCGTTCTACAGTATCCGTCGCCACTTCCCGAATGGCCGTCACTTCCGGCACAAGCCGCGGGACGTCTTGTCACCGGCTAACGCACGCAGTTGCGTAACGCGTGGCGAATCAAAGGCGAGAAAAGGGGCGAGTAAACGAGGCGGTCGCGCCCGCGACGATAAAGCACGTATGTACGTCGCCACACGACGATAAGGCGACTTTCGCGGTTGGTAGGGCGCGGATACTCCGGATGGAGACTTCCTTTCAGCTGTCCAGCTGGCCGACGATAAGGAAATCTACGTTTTTTTTTTTTCTTTTTTTTTTTTTGCGGAACTCGTTTCGATGCGCCAACAACGTCCTTCTTCCCGTTTCGAAGAAAGTCGTCGCGCTGGAATGTCGATCGTTTTGCTTCCACGTATGTAGTAGCTACGCGCGGCTGGATTCATGGAGGCTCAGGAACAGATTTATTTCAAGGTTTCGCGCAGAATTAGTATTAGAACGAATGTTCTAATGAAACTCCGTTCCCGGCGAAGAATCACAACAATTTGTTCAAGATTGCAATTTTTGTATCCGAGCTATTCATTTGTTCAAAATCTTTTCAAAACTACTCGACTGATATTTGAATTGCGAACAGGAGTTATTTAAAACACGTCGAATAATGAAATTAAACAGTTTTATTATACGGGAAAGCGTATATAGAAATTACTGTGATATTAATTTAAAGAAACTCGTGCATTTTTAGATGTATTTGAAATTTTAATATTTTAGTAAAATCTTATTTCATATTTGAAATAGTATGATTTCCAATAATGTATACATATATTGGGAGAGATTTCTGCAAGTGTCTGAATACTTCCATCAATAATAAGTATCTCTACCTGTGTCAAATGTGGACACACATACACAGGTATAAACTATGAATATTTACCATCATCCAATATCTAAATATCACATCAGGCATAGTTCATCATCCGAAATTATTTTATATTTATATCTATCTATCCAACAAGTATGTATTTTTTTACATTCTTTCAATTATTCGAGTATCCTGCCTCATCCTCAGACAATTCATTTAACAAGTACAGACTAGCAGTTGAACGTATCCGCAGAGACGATGCGAAAATTTTATAGCGACCGGTATAATCGTTCGTACGGTTAAATCCTTCTTTGGTCTATCGCCGGACGTGAAGCGTGTTACGGTTCAGCTCTCGGACAGCGCGTCGCCGTTGGAATGTCGCGATCTAACGTTAACGCGATTGCTTTCGTTCCTAGAAGCTAAATAATGCCAACGTACTCGACCTAACTAACCGGTGTGTGTTCACGAGATGCACGCGCGCTGCCTCTGCGGCCTATCTTCTTTCGCTTCGAGGTAAAACGGCGAGCGGTAAACGTTCTCGGTAGGTCGTCGCGGCGTGCTTCCTCGAAGGCATTATTTTCACCAGTGCCGGAATTCTTAGTAGCATGTATACACACCCCGATAATACTTATCGGTCGACCTTCTTTCACTCTTCTGTGACTTCGAAGACGCGGCGCGGCGATAAAACGCGAGGTCAGACACGAACCTCTTCTTCGTTTTCGCGATCGCAACGTGATCTCGAGTTAAGCTGCGGCACGACGACGAGATCCCTCCCCCGTCGAGACGAAATTAGTATGATGTATGATGTCTGTACCGTGTTTTTACAAATTTTTTTCTTATAAATTTTAAGGTGATTCGAGGACTGGAACTTAGGTTGATTTAGCTAGTAAATATCGTAAGAATTGAATATTTCACGCGTTTCCTCTTTCATGTGTTATACGTGCATTCTGTGCACTTCTTCATTTCATAAATTCATACGAAACAATCTGTCGCAACGATTTCATTCGTTTGCTTGTTGTACAGATCCATTGCATGGATAAAATCTTACAATCAATAATATTATGGAATAATTATTTTACTTATCAGAGATTCGAAAGAGACAATATATTAAGAATAAATATCAAAAAGTATATGTTCAAGGATGAATATATTCTTAATTTGTTACATGCTCGCCATTCGGTATTAAACATTTAGATGTTTTATTATTTTAAGCATTCAAACGGTTAATTACGAGTACATTTATTTTTAAGCATATATCCTCTGATATATTTATTCAATGTTTTAAATTTCCAATAAGTAAAAACAGTTGTTTTATTATTGATTATGAACTAAATACTCAAAATGGTTAATTGTCTATTCGCGAAGGTAGTAATTTATACAAATCTTCTAATATTTTTCGATAAAAACTCATTTCTTTCAACGGCGTAGTGAAAATTTACGATTAATAGCAAATTTTAATTTTGACACTCGTTTGTCCTAAATAATATGTATACATCCTAACTGGCATTGATAGACTTTAAATTTTAATTAAATTCGTTCGAAAATTATACGTCGCGTATTTCATTAATATTTACATACTACGCTCGAATCTTTTATTTGAAATCTGAATCTAAAATTTCCGAACAATATTGTACAAATCTTTTTTAAATATTTTCACGAAGTAAAAATTAACATACACACTCAAGTCAAAGAAACATTGTCGCAGGTTCTATAAAAATTAAACGAAAGCGTGGATTCTACTCACTTTGGATTCTTGACCATCAGTTTGCGCATGAGATCGCGCGCCTCTTCGGAGACATCCTCGAACAGATCGTCGGGGAAATCTAGGCGACATCGGCTAATGTTGCAGAACGTTTCCTGCTTCGTGTCACCACCAAACGGAGAGCATCCCGTTAGCAATACGTACAACAGAACTCCGATGGACCACATGTCTGTTGCCAAGCTGATCGGTTCGTAGCTCAACACCTCGGGAGCTGGAATTACCACGGGAGATCGCGGCTTTTGAGTGTGAAACCAAGAAAGGAGAAACGTCGAGAGATGGGCAACGAATGAAACGAAAGTCGTGAAAATGTCGAGACTGGTGTACAGCGCACAATGATATTCGTTTGTTGAAAACGAGAAACTCTTAACTCTCAGCTGGTATCGTTGAGTTATAAATTGATTGTGATAATTTCTGAGTATGATAACTAGAATTTGAGGCATCTTGTTTCACGCTTGTTTTCATTTGATTTAATTAAAAATCCTAAGATTAAGTGACTCGAGCTTAGATTGTTGCGATGAGACAATTTGAGTGTAATCGAAATAAATTCTAATTAACGGCGAACTTGTACGTCGAAAGGGCTTTAAAAAAAAAAAACAAAACACATTTTAAATCTACCACATTTTGTAAGAAATAGAGAAAATTTGATCCAATTTATTTTTTTCAACTTCTTGAAATTGCATAGTTGTCGAAGCTAAAAAACGAACTTGAATCACTTAAAGACTTAACCTTCTAGAGGCATTTAAATCCCCCTTCGCTGGTGGACTTAAATCGCCAGGCGAAGTTTAATTTTACATGTTTTCATATAAATCATTGTGGTTCCTATATTTTCAAAGTTAATCAAATCAAATAAAGACTCAAGCTACTCAAAACAAGAAGAGAGAGAGAGAGAGAGAGCCCGTCGATATATCGGACGTTACTTACAAGGTAAAATTCGATAAAAATGTGTAAAAATTGTTCTTTATTTCTTGCGTTCAACTTTCATTTTTTAAGAACACTCTACACGTTCTCTTCCTTCGCGTTTCCAACGAATGCAATCAGGGGGGGAACAGTGTTGAGCACTGTACGTTACGTTGCCTAACGACAGTTTCATTCAAGTCGACTTTCCGACCGTTACGTCCACGTTAAAAGTAATAGCGGTGAATAATCGTAGGGCTCGTAAATGCACCAAGCTTTCCCGACCGCTCGAAAAGTGGCTTGTTCTGTTCAATTATGCAACGGCCCTGTTTCTCTAATGGAATTACGCGGTACAAAACCAGCCGCGGACTCGATTCACCGTGCGAATACTGGCTACCGGCCACGAGAAAAATAATATAGTGACGTGACAAATTGTGTTCGTAACTTTTAAACTCGAGGATACGTAACTTCCATCGTCGGGATTACAGGATAGAATATACACGTTCACGTTGAAGCGCAATCATGTTACTTGGTGTTTTTGTTACCCGCGCGAAATTAACGCGATAGGAAATTGGTGTATGTAACAATTTTTCCTGACTGTTAATTATAGCAGTTTGATAACGCGCGATTTAATGTATTCGCTGTAATGTAATCGTGGCATATGCAGTTAAAAAATGACTCCATTTTGTTAGATTGTTGGAGATAAAATGGCCAAATTTTCAAACAACCTCTGTCGTTCTCTTGAAAGTAATGCTAATTAAATTTCGAATCACGATGTTAGACACACTTTCTTCTTTGTAAACTTATGATTACCGTGATCTTCGATAGAATCTTTAGTCGATCATTTTTTGATTCACCTCTGACGTTTGCAGCTTAACTTGCCAATTTAATCTTTCACCAGCTCACCAAGTTTGAAATCTACTTTCTTAAAAAGGAAGTTTTAAATGTATATACAATTGTGTGTTTATATATTTCTACACTAAAGAGTTCCTTTAAAAACACCGAAAGTCCTCCAGTTGAGTCGAAAACGAGAGTGGAGTTGGAATAGGAAAATTCGGGGATTACGATTGTTCGTCGACACGAACGCGTGACAAACAGTGGAAAATTTCGAATGTCATCAATGTAACAGGCCACCGTTCGAGGGCATTCTCTCCTTGGTCGCCGCTCAAGTCCAGGATTACTCACCAACGTAATCGGGCGTGCCCAGAATCTCCCGTATGTCCGCGCCGTGGCTGATGTACCGCGAGATACCAAAGTCGCAAAGTTTCACGTCGCAGTCCGGGAACTCGCCGGTCAGGACCAGATTTTGAGGCTGAAACAGGCAACGAAACGATGAGAATCTGGAAACAGGGAAAACTGAAAGCCGACAGCAGAAAGAAAGGAAGAAAGAAGCGAGAGAATTTTTCCAGAATCAAAAGAGAAAAAGAAAAATGTGGTGGCCTCGCGAGCACCGTCAGGAAAGGCTTTCATCAAAGAGCCTCGAACAGAGACAAAAGAGCTCGTTATTTTCTTTCGTCGTTCCGTGTAATTGCTTGCAGCTCTGCTCGGGAAAAAGACGCGCAACGATCATATTTTATCCCGGAGGGAGACCGAGGCGTCCCTCTCGATTAAACGCACGACGCGATCTTCGGCCCGTGTGACGCCGATTTATGAAACGCCGTTTTCATATTTCACCTGGCCGACGTTTTACAGCGTGGATAAATTATTCGGGGCGATCTTGTCGTCACAATTATGCCGGGTAGCTGGCAGCTGGTTGACACCGGCAAAAGAGAAACCGGCACGAGAGGGACAATCGTGTACCGAAAGGGTAAACGCGATTACTCTGTCGCGCATCGTGTAAGAGTGATCTCTTTTTCTCTTCTTTCTTTGGTGGTTTGGTTTCGGTTCGTATCAGGATTCCAGCGATCAATTACATGCCCCGTGCCTACGCGATGTCACTTAATTAAAGCTATTTAATAAACGACGATTCGCCGACGCGTCCGTCGCTTATTATCGGGGTAATTAATCGTCTCGCGAGAGTGGGATAAAGTGAAGTATAATGAACGGTGTATTTCAATCGTGGATGAAGATATTTTTGAAGGGAAGAGACTTTAAAGCACATTGGTAACAAGCTTGTTTCAATTTTCTACCTCTGAACTGTACTCTTGGGCTACTTTTTTTTCAAACGTCTGATCTGTGTACCACGTTTAATTCCATTTCGATTCAAATATGCAGTCGATACTTTCATTTTCAAAAAGTAATTGAAATAAGTAATTTAAATTTACAGTTTGTTATATTCATAGAATGATACTGACGAGACGTATTACTTTCAATCATTAATTTTCCATTGGGGACTACAACAATTCAGGATTAACTGTGCCTAAATGTTCCAAGGTATTTTGTTACACGTTAACAATCAAACGAAATAAACTTGCTGTCGTGTATTTTAATATAATAAAAACTATACAAAACAGAAGTATTCTCAGACAGACAGATGCATCAACGATGCATCGACGCATTGTACTTTCGTTCCTCTTCTTCTCATTTTCACCTATAACCTCGGTATCCTGTCGGTTTCTTTCGCCGCGTTGCTGTACAGCAGTCGAGCGCATTGTTCGATTGTTTTAAGGGGAAAGAGTTCTCTCGGGACGAGGCGCAAAAAGAGGCAAAAAGGAAAAAGGAGGAAGAAAGAAACGATCGAGAAAGGAGCATGAATCGCTCGGCTAGGCCGCGCCACGACCTTTCTTATCGTCGATCGTTTGTATTCGCCTATCCAGCCTTTGAGCACTCGTTCGTACGCCCACGCATCTATTTGCCACGATTCCATCGTCTACGGTTTGCAGCTTGCGAGCGAGTCTTTCTGCAGAAATTGACCAATTAATTCCTCCTTCCATATCTTTTATAAAATAAAAGCTTTCTTCCGTTGCGTTTTTATAATATTACACACAATATTGCATATTATTTACCTTCTATCGCAACATAATCGCACGAGGCAAACTTGTTAACATCGAGATGCTCGTTTGCAAATTGCAAAGAAACAGCCAACAATTAGTGTGATAGCGTGGCAGAAACGCTTTAAGGAAAAAGCATCTTCTTCTTGATTAACAACGATGTGCTCGCGAACGTTATCGTCGATGGAGTCACCGTCAACGTTCCACGAAACGGTGTGTTCCGCGAGCGAGCGCGTATCGAAGTGATTGCAAAAGATTCCCCCTTCCCTCGATCGTTTCGCTTCGTGGAATACCAACGTCGACGGTTAGAATAAATATATTCCTTCCCTCTCTGCCCCTCTCTCGTCGAACGATTCACCTTCAAAACTTCTCGATCGAGAAAGCAGATAGGATAAGAAAATTGGTAAAGCACGCGAGGAGGGACGAGAAAACAAGGAGGAGAACGATGGCGTGCACACGCTCGTTCCGCTCGTGGATTCAGTTTGCGCGTTACGTTTCGTTATATGCCGCGTTACGAGTCGAACGTGACCGGACTGCGTCGCATGATACGCTTGAAAAGCACGCTCCTGTAAAGTCGAGGTCGTGGGACGTTTTGCTCGTGTGGCCCCTTTTGGTTTCGACACTCGTTTGCGGGCTACGCCTTGTCCACCTCGTGTCACTGCGGCACTCTCGAGCACAATTCAGATAATAAAGCGCGTATCTCGAAAAAATGATGAACTGACACGTTGGTTAACTCAACTGGATGTTATTTCAAGTGATTCAGTTTATTTGAACCGATGATTTTTTGAGTCAGAAAATTTAAACATTATTCCCCAATTGGAATCCCTTTGAAGGCCAGAGAATTATAAACGATGCCCCTTACATATTATGAATTTTGCATAATATCATTATTATTTTGCACACCTTCCAAATGCAATTTAATTTGCAATCTAGTATAATTATAATATTTTCGAACGATTGATCCAGCTACAGTTTCATTATTTGGTCCGTCAAACGAAATTATCTTGTATCTGGATGATTAAGTTTCTACTCAAACGATTAACCATATAGTTTCTAATTCTTGCATGACAATTACGTCGTAGTACAGGTTTCAGAATCGTTGATGGACACAATTTCAAAAGCGAGATCATTCAGCCGGTTTGGAAACGGACTCGACTCCCGGAAGTCGTTCAATAAGGAACAAAGACATTTCCATAATTAGTCATTACGGAGTTCCTGCGTCGGTGCGGGTTTCGCGACACGTTCCTCCGCCGAACGTGGGCGTCGACGATCGATTATCACGAATATCACCTTTTCAAATGAGACAATTGCGTTCAGATCGCGGCGTTTCCTCGTCAGACGCAGATGCAGTGGTCTCTCGAGCCAGCTTGGCTCGGCTAGACTCTCTCTCATCGGCGCGTTTACGTGCGATGTATCGATCGAGCGTGTCTAGGAAAGTGTAACAGGTGAGCCGGTTCTCGGTGCTTTGGTCTGTCGGATGTCGTCGTTTAACGTAACACAGAGAGCGATCGCAAAAAACAACAGGAAGGACGCGAGCGATTAAGCCAGGGTTATCTACCTTTTCGCGAGAAAAACGTAGCTGCGGGTAATTCTCACGGTACCTCGCGTAGAGATGGGATCGAGTATCTCGCAACAGAGATGGAGTTCGAACCTCTTTCTAAATATTCCCTATGGTACTTTCATGTACTATCATGTACTCGAACGTATTCTAAGTGAGATAGTTTCCGAATGAATATTTCTAGAAATGAAGATTACACTGGATATATTTACAATTCGACTGGAATACTGATAGACAGAGATGAGATTCGACCAGATCTCTGTTCTTTTTTTACGCTCAATTTTCAAATAATATTCGCGTCAGGCGCGCCTATCCCATAGAAACGATTTAACGCGCATGCGTTCTGTGAGCGGAAGTCTAACTTACATCGACAATAAAGACCTATCTTTTATAAAGAGTAAAAAATATAATAAACTTTGTATGAAAATATAATAAACAACGATATTTCAAATATTGCGCCCCGCATTAAACACATTTGATCCACTTAGTCTCATCTACGATTTGGAATCAGTTATAAAATGAAAATATATAATGCATAAAATAAATACATTGCGAATGCACTGGTCGAGACATTTTTATACATCATTTAGACATCATAAGTGCACATTGAATTTGATTCCGTCATTTCTACTTTATCGTCCTTTCTCTCTTTCTTTCTTGCAGCTCGTTCTCGGCGAGGTCGACGATCGAATTTTCTTGATTAGAAGTTCGCGGAGGATCGGAATGTGAAGCGCGCGCAGAAGTGTCTGCGTATGGTTGCAAGCCAGAGGAGCTGGCTTTTTAGCCAACGGACAACGAATTTATGAGGATCCCGTCTCTCGCGTTCATTGAAACTTCCGGCGGTTGAGAAAAGGGGGAAGCGACCCTACGCTCTGCGAGCCAGACGTGAATACACGTGAATGTATATGCATGTACGTGTTGGTAGACGTGAATGCAATGCACGCTGTTTGAGGGAACGAGCTACAAGAAAGAATACATTAACTCTACTGATCCTTTGGTGGACAATGAAATGCGTATTTTCGTGATATAATTTTGTAATATAATTAACAGATACTTCAATAGACATTATTATAACGTAATATAGTAAAAATATTGCTGATAGATAGCATTGTATGAAATGTATCGTGAAGTATAATGAAAGTATTTGAACACAAGCATCTAGAATAACTGTTAGATGCGTATATCGAGTATTTAAACATCTTTCGTAGTTTTGTGATTATGAATGAAAATGGGAGCTAGATAGCATCCAAATAATAATAATTTTATTGTTTTAATATCATGTATCTTCTTCAAATGCCATACGAGAGTAACGTTACAATACCGTCTAATTACATACTTAATTCGATTTATTCTAATCTTGAGAATTAAGTCAACTATCTTCCGTTCAATGAATTCCTTCACAATGACTCTCGTCTCTTATTAAATATTCTGTGTCAAGCAGTCAAGTTCGATATAGATTTCTTTCATTTGAAAAACGATATATTTTTTAAATGAATATAGAAACGGAGCAAAGTTGGATTAAACAGCTAATTAGAGACAAAACTGTCTTCAATTTCCTCCGATGTTTGAAAGAATCTGTCTTGATCGATTTACCAACTATCTCCACCAGCTATAATAGCTCTGGAAATCCACTCAATTTATAGAATCGATTCCCCGTAAACATAATTACTCTCCACTCCGCAAACGCAGCCATCAGTACAAGCACAAATTTAATCGTTCCTCTCTACTGTATATGGTCGAACAGATTACGCTCGCTAAGAAGCGTGTAAAACTAAGGAGAGAATAACAGAAAAGTGGGAGAGATCGGTCAGCCGCTTTTCCTAC